TGTCGGCGCCGTCCGCGGAGCTCTCGCGCACCACGGTGGCGCCGCTGGCCTCGCAGTCCAGCCGCAGTCCGGCCACCCCCTTCTTTGGTATATCTGCTATGTCCCGCTTTATTTTCCTGCGCCGTCCGTGCTCGTTTCTCCTATACTGAACCATATTTTCAAGATCTGCTACATACAGAAACCCAGCAATTAGCATTTCAGTGCTCTTTTTGCCTTTGGAAAAGGCATCTTCCAGCTCTCTGCTGGTACGTTCATCATACTGCCACCAGCCATTTCTGCCTTCGTAGTACCAAGCGTACTCTCCATTGCCCCTGCTTGCCGCCTTGAGTTCCTCGGGTGACAGCAAGGTTGGCTTGTCGAGAAAATCCTCGGGAATCTCCTGCCGGCAGAGCGCGCAGCGCTTCCCGAGCCAGGAGGCCCCCTTCACGCACAGGTAGCAAAAGACATGTTTACAAGGCAGGCTCACCGGGTGGACACAGGTCTGCAGACAGATAGCGCACTCGGGCACTGGCAGCGAAGGAGCGGCGCTAGCGCAGGACTCGCTCGTCTTCCTGTTGGTGGGAAGCATGTTGATGGAATGATCCACTTCACCGCAGCCAGCCATCCTACGGAGGAGCAAAAATAGAGCAAATCAGTTTATTGCGTCAACCTGAACCGGTACCTCACCCCCAACAGCACCACCCACACAGAGGCGTTATGGTTGGAAGAGACCTTCAAGATTATCGGGTCCAACCGTAAACTCTTCAAGATCATCGTAAGATGCTTACCTTAAATTAAGGTATCATTTATGAAGGTCAGCTTTAAAAGAGAGTGACAGGTTAACATTCTGTTTCTCGAGCTGAGATCAAGTGGAGTATCTGGAGACTCTTTGGCTAGCTGCCCACCTCTCCGTTTCGCTCCCGTCACGTTGCCACACCACATTATCCAGCAAGTTCACACAACTCACACCGTTCTGGTCATCATCACCTGGATTATGGCACTGCCAGAACTGAGCCTCAGGCCAGGTTTCCATGGTGCAAAATGTCGCTGCCGGCAGCATCCCGCCGAGTATCCCCGCGCTCTTCTGCTTCCCCAAGCAGCTCCGCACACGGCCCCTCAAACTACCACAGGGCTGCAGAACGCGTCGGATTTGGAAATGGGGGCGGCTTTTTCAAAGAAATACCTACATTTCTTTTTCCTGAACACCACGTCAGGAATTCCCTGGTTCAGCTGCGTCCACCTCAGAAGGAACTGCCTCAGTCCAACAGAAGGGGAGGTATAGCGCAGAAACTGAAGTACTTACTTAACACCACTGCTATTTGACTGGTTTGTAAAGGCACTCATTCCCTCTACCTTTCCTGGCTGTGTCTTATTGCTGTTACTCTATTCTATTAAACTGATTCTTGTAACTAACTGTAAAAAGAGCAGACCAAACAAACAAGAAACACAGAGCAGGGCTCCCTTGGCAGTCTGTGGTATTTCAGTGGCTGAAAAATTCTAGCCAGAACATGGAAGTTTCTTCTCACCTACATTTTAGCCACCACAGTCCCCCACAGTGTATTCAGTGAGAATTTCCTTTTTCATTTGTATATACTAACAATCCAAACAAAACAAAAACAAACAAACAAACAAAAAAAGATTTCACATAACAGAAAAGAGATTTGGGGGTTGGGGTGTAAAAAGGGGTCTTTTTATTATTTTTGTACATCTCTGCAAGGAACATTCAAGCAAAACTGCCTCTCAGCAAAGCTAGTCTTCACTGTACTCGGAGCTGAGAACAACTCACACAAACTCAACAGAGCTGTGGGCTGGAAGGGGCATCTGGAGGTTTTCCAGTCCAGTCTCCTGGCCTACATGGCACTACAACAAACACAAGACTCGATGACAGAATCACAGTCTGGTTAAGGTTGGAAGGGACCTCTAGAGATCATCTAGTCCAACCCCCCTGCACACGCAGGGTCACCTAGAGCACGTGGCACAGGACTGCGTCCAAGCGGGTTTTGATCAGCTGCAGATTTTCATAGCCAGCTTTCCTGAAGCCACTAAGGATGGAGTTTCCGCAGCCTCCTTGGACACCCTGGCTCTAGTGTTGCACTACACACCCAGTTAAATGCCAGCTCAAGGGAAAATTCTTAGCATTGCTGAAAAAGCTTCCCCTGCTTTAAATATCTTATGAATACATTCTGAGATTCAAAAAAAAAAAAAAAAAAAAGGAGAAAAAAAAGGATTAGGTTTCAATATCTATATTTACCTTTGCAACAATGCATTTAAATTCTATTTACATAAATGTATTTCTATTTACTTAAATCTATTCTATTTGCTGCTCTATCACTATAATTTTCTCTCAGAAGACCAGTACCCATCATCTCTCTAATCCAGTTTGTCAGGACATCCTTCTAAAAGCTCTACAGTTAACATTTTTTCTGAAATATTACACAATTGTGTCCATGTACACTCCAGTTTCTTAACTGAATTCCTTTGAGATTAAAACCAAATTGTGTTTAAATTAAAAACAAATTTTGAGATTACAACTAAATATATATACGAGTTCTTAAATTATCCTGCCTGGTGCAGACACACGGTTACCACCCGGGAACTTCTTTCTACTGCACGGAATGCCAGTATCTGAGAGACCCAAGCTAACAAGGTTCTGAACAAGCTCCTTTTGGGGAGCCTCACACTTTCGAGGTATTTTTGAACAGAATTTTACATGAAAACCTTTTTCTAAAAACAAAACAAAACAAAAAAAAACCAGAAGCTTATTAACAAAAAGAGGGAAGAAAAGCTATTAAGATTTCAGAATACCCAAAAATACAACTCAATCTGCATCTCAACAGAAGCGCTGAAAGAAAAAAAAAATCCATGTATTGATTAACTTGTGGCAAGCATGGCTGAGGAAAAGGGATGTGAGTTTCTGAGTGCTGCCATAATGACATGCTGCTGTGCAACGAGTCACAGCCATAGAGATTTTCATTTCCATGCTACAGTTTTACAAAAGGCTCTTCTCCCTCAATACACTTCATAAGGCTTTGACTTTTCAGAGTGAAAGAAAAGATTAAAACAACCTGCAGATAAGTAACTTATTACAAGCAGTCTGTCATAATTAAGATGACAGAGGCTGCTGAGACTAAAAATACAACTCATTTTGACATGTCAGATTATGGTGCCATGAGCTACTTTAGAAAACTAGAAGCAAAATGAAGTTCTTACCTGCTCACTGAAAGTACAAGCATGTCTGAACTGGGCTCAGAGGGCCAACCACTAGTTTTGGGGGGCCTTTGGTTGCTTTTTAGGTCAAATCAGTAATGCAGCATATAAGAGGAAAGGAACAAAAGCCCTACTTTAAATTCCTAAGAATTCTTAAAGACTTAGAGGAAAACGTTATATGCAAAGTGAATAAGATTGGACAACTAAACCCTTATCTCTAACCAAACACCACTGAGCTACATAAAACTCTTTTAAAAGATAAGAACAACTGCAGTTGCATGTGCCCAGAATACAGGACAACCAAACACTTGAAGATTTAAAAACAAAAGGTGTAAATACAGAACAAGGCACTTTAAGATTTAAAAACAAAAAGTTTAGCTGATTTAAAAGAAAATCCTCATTAATCCTTTTCTGTTTACCTTTCTAAGTTTCAAAACTACTTCTGAGAGTTTGTTTATAATCATGTACAAACACACGTGTCTGTAACCACCCTCAGAAAGGAGGAAAGCCATGCAGCACTACTATTCTGATCAGTAAGTTAAGGCTGTGGAATTGTAGAGGCACTTGCATTCCAGCCCCAGGATATTAAGACCTAAGTAACATTGACCAGAGAATGTTTTTTTTTTTTTTTCCTGGAATTAACAGTAACAGATTATAACATGGCTGGATCAGAAAAGGCTTCATATTAGAACTGTTGTTATCAATTGTTCTGCGTTCTATTTTCAGAGGGCTGTTTTTTTTAAGAGGGCTGGGTTCTGTTAATCATTCTTGACAATGGAGAAAATTACATTATTGAATAGCACACCTGCAAATTAACTAATCTTTAGTACAGGTTTTAAGAACACTAGTATTTGAAGTGTTTGGATTATCAGATCGGGTATAAATAAGGGAATAATGACCATCTGAACGCTGTAATTTAACACAAATACAGCCCAGAGCCAACTGAGAAGAAACTAGTTCACACTTTCACCAGAGCGCACCATTCTTCTTTATTTTTGTTGAACTACCATTAAATCATACATTTAATTTTGTATGCTTAGGACGCACCGCCACAAGTGCCTTCATCAACATACAGAGCACGCTACCAAGAGATGACGTACGAGCACTATGTGCAAAGTCACCAGGCCTCCCAAGACACTGAGAAAGGGAGGGAAATTTTCATAAAAATCACCCCAGAATGGAGCAGGTTTTTTCCAAACTCCTGACCAAATTCTGAATTGCAACTCAAGGAGCTGACTTGTGCAAGTCAGTCAGCAAGGGACCGATAGCTTAATTTTTCTGGGTGATTTCTGCTGGTGCATGCCCAGAGCTGCAGCGTCCTCCCTTCAGACACGCACAGCTAGGATAGCAGGTCCCGCTTCCCACAGCTGCCTCATTCCTCATTTGGCCGGCCCAAAGCAACACTACAGTCTTTCAGCTTCCCTGCAAACTAACGGAAAGCAAATAGTATCCCTATTACAAAAATGTTGAACGAAGGCATGAGTGAGCAAAACACAACACCAGGTTGCTGTTACAGAAGAGAAATTAGTATTTCATCTACCTGACGCAGGCTATTCTCAATGTATAAAAACAATACCATGAGACTTCTGATTTATTTTTTTACAATGACCCATTCTGGTCTTCATTTTGATACCTGACTTAAGCTAATTACATTTTTCTAAGTTATTACAAAAGATAATTAGCTATAGTAAGCTAACACCTCATTTTCATAAAGTAACCATTTAAACAAGAGAGAAGCGAGTTAGGAACATGTAATGTTTATGCTACTCTAACCTCTGGAAGGGGCTTCCTAATTCAGAGAGTTACTATGGCTTCCTAGGCCTGTATATAAAAACATCCATATCACATCATTACGATCCAGCCCTGTACCTCGTCTCCAACAAGAACCTCTGAAAAACAGGCAGGGATGCAAGCCAACCTCCACTCCTTCTGTGGTAACACCCCTCTCTTCAGACTCCCAGTTCGTGTCAGCCCCAGTGCATTTTGCAGTATGGCACTTACCAACCAGAATCAGATTCATTTCACTAGTGCAAATTAATCACCGAAAATCATTAAGTCTAACAGTTACCTAAATAACTCTACAGGAGGGAAATATAAATCTGCAAAGTCAAGGAGAGCAGGGAGACTGTCGAGGTTTCAGTATGGCAGTCTCACACTTCAAGCTGAAAGTCCTGACCTTAAAAAAAAAAAAAAAAAAAAAAAAAAAAAAAAAAAAAAAACTACCTTCTGTTAAAAAAAATATTCATGAATCCTCTGTGAAGACTGCTGAGCCATATACCATATATATTTTCCCCTTTTGTGAGCTGTAGCTTTTTCAGGATGATTCCTAAGGAATTTGAACCACAAACTCCAATTGCTGCAAAATATGTCACATACAGAAATGCTTTGACGCAGACCTGGGAATGTCATATTATTAGTCTTCAACTTGCTCAGCTT